AATCTAAATGTTTAAATCTATGTAAAAGTTAAACCTTAATGTTGATGTTAAATGCTGAAGTTCATATTTAGAGACTTTGGAATGGAACACAGCCTTTGCTGTTGGCGCTCAGCTCATGTATTGATGTCATTATCTTGAGACAATAGCAACCGCTAGCGCTCCAACGCAGCTAAAGCTTATCTACAGGACATCAATCGGTGTCTGAGGTGTGGAAAATGTGTAACACTCAGAAAGGGAGCTAAGTAGTGAAAAATATGGTGGGACAGAGAACAGACCCAGAGAGAAAGATGGAAGCTTTTTTTAAACCTTTTTAGAATGATGGAATGCTGCATGCTGCAAGTGTAATGTTCGTTACGTGTTTATCTGTCCAAATATCGAGGAGGCACAGTGTCTGCCCATGGCTCAGTGTTTGTAGCATCTACAGTATGTAGTGTAAAAGAGGCATCTGTGGATGTTCTCTGAAAACAGAGTAATATTTCCATTGTTAATATTTTATGTTTTAGAGACGGCCCAGATCTGGTTGGCCTCTCAAACTAAGGGTGTATTCACACCTGACTTATTTGGTTTACCCAAAGTGAAGGAACGTGGGTTTGTTTCCCCTGTTGGTCCGGATCTTTTATGCAGGTGTGAGTACACTCATGCAAACCCTGTCGCTGACCAAACAACCAGACCGAGACCCACTTTTTGAGGTGATTCCCGTTTCCCCTGTTGGTCCGGATATTTTATGCAGGTGTGAGTACACTCATGCAAACCCTGTCGCTGACCAAACAACCAGACCGAGACCCACTTTTTGAGGTGATTCCCAACGAACTCTGATGCGGTTTGYTTCTGGTGTGAATACAGACCGGCCTCGAACCAAACCAACTACATGAAACATGCACCTTTTTGGACTTCATGAGCCACTGCTGCTAAGCATCGTGGTAACAATTAGCACATCGATGTTGTCAACACTACCACTACCTATCTTCCATTTTGGAAAACCTGAAGCTACTTTTGGATAAATGTGAACACCAGAATATTTTTTTTGTCCTACGTCAGATCTGGCTTGATGTAATCTCGCCTTAGAGACAATTTTATTCACCTCAAGGCTAATTTTGAGCTCTTGAGCAGAGTTTTGATAAAACAGATAAATATGCACCCGGTTAGTTTTGTCCACTAAACGCAGTTACATGAACCGGTTGGATCCAGTAAACCCACTAAGCTACAGAAGCAACTTCAACTTTCTGTTTTGTAGCCATTGCATCATCTTGAATATTTCTGGAAATTTTTCAACTACCTTTATTATTGATTGTTTGAAAGAGCTATATTAGTTTACACAACTTTCCTTTTCTGATAGACATTATCCTCCCAGCTTTCGAGCTGGTGTGAGGAGTTTAAAGGAAGTGAAGGGTGGGAGATCTTCGAGAATAATGCCCCTACAATAGAAGGGGCTGACCACATTTCATCATGTTTATGGTCAAAAGCCCATTCTCTCCCTGACTGGATGTGGGTAAATAACAGAGAGAAAGAGTTCATTGTTGTGGAAAGAGCTGGATAGTGGCAGGCTGGATGATGTGTTCCTTTGCTTTGCGTCATAAAGGGAAACACATGTGTGCTTGTAGCATTGTTAATAAGCTGTAGCACAGAGTACCCCAGTGGCCAGATGTTATGGACAAATGTCAAACAAACGCTCTTGCTCTATTCTTGGAGTCAGCCCAGAAAAAAGAAAACTGTTCCGAGTGTCACACAGAGCCTCAATTACATGTGATGAATGCTTTGCAGGACGCTCGTAACGATCCCCAGGAGAACTCAAACATACACATTTATTGACACGAAGCATCTCCGTATGAAATCAAACAAGGATGATGCCAGCTGTAAAGACGCTCTGGTTAACCACGTTGGAAATGTGGTCCTAACTCCAGTGATTGAGGTGGAAACAGCAGGAGGAGCTGTACGCTAAACAGAAACATCATCATCATCCTCTTTTTTTGTAGGAATTAAATACAGTCCCGATGTGGGACGACCTGTTCTCGGCTCAAACTGTCCCCGGAAATGTCTGATTTGAGCTTTTTATGAATGAAAAAAACGGCAGTACTTGTTTGTTGGTGAGTTAAARTCATAACAACATTGTTGACGTTGAGTCAGAAGTCAAAACAAATTAATTCATCTGTGGAAGATGGACTGGAAACAACAGTTGAAGCTGCATCGCTG